GAATGTTTCCCAGAGGCTCAGATGTTCAACACAGTTCCTGGCTTGCACTGTTGGCAGGTGGTGGAAACTTTAAGAGGCAGGACCTAAGTTTTCCTGTACCTTTGGGAGGGGTGATGGGACCCTAGCCCCTTCTCTTCCTTTCTTTTGGTTTTGGCCATGGGGTGAACAGTTCGCTCTAACACATGCTCCCCACTATGATGTACTATGCTGCCACCGGTCCAAAGCAATGGCCAGTTGGTCATGGATGGAAACCTTCAGACTATAAACAACACAACAAAATAACAACAACAACAAATAACTACCTACAAACTTGAGCACTGTCCCTCAGCTTTTTTGCTCAGGGATAGTCCTCTGTTGCTTGAACTACAGCTCCACTTGTGGCTTTTTGGTAGGTAATTGGAGATAAGATTCCTGGGAATTTTCCTGCTAAGTCTGGCTTTGAATCTCAATCCTCAGATCTCAGCCTCTTTAGTAGCAAGGATTACAGTGGTGAACCATTGGCACCTGGCTAAGGAGGTATTTTTATTGCATTTAGAGGTCAGTTTGTCATGGTGGGGAGGACTTGGTGGAACAGAGCAGTGTACAGTATGGCAGCCAGGAAGCAGACAGAAGAGGACCTGGGGACATGATATCCAGAAGAGCCACTGCAGTGACCTATTTCTGCCAGATAAGTCCCAAAATAGTGTCACTAAGCATGGTGAGGCTCAAATGTCTAAGTCCAACACAGGTACCTCTGTGAGGGACATTTCACATTCAAACCATAATGCCAGGAAGAGACTACGATCTTTACCTGATAAGTGATTATTGGAGAAGGACTGAAATATAGTCAGAAATGTGGTTGCTAGAATTGTTAGCTTTATTTAGAATTAAAAACAGACCAAATTCCCAGCTTTCTTTGGTGTTGTTTCCATTCTCTTCACACAGTTTTTCTTTGGTGGTACTATTTGTCTCCCTCCCCTCCTTGCCTTCCTCTCCCCTTTTCTGTCTTTTACTGGGGAAGGATGAAAGTCATGGTTTTAGCAGGTGCTGGTGGCTCACCCCTGTAATCCTAGCTACTCAGGAAGTTCACTCACTCTTGCATAAGTTAAAAATTAAGAATCTAGAGAGACATTTGCCTTTAAGGATGGTGGATTATACTTGAATCCCAAATGTTTTGGTGTGCAGCCTCTTGGAGTGGAGTAGTTGTGGTTTTCTGAGAGTTCTGCTTTTGAAGTACTGTTATGTCTCCCTTAAGTGATCTTTTCATGCAAGACAGTGATCACATAAGAATTGGAACTGTATCCAGAATATGGAGCAGGCATCCTTGTCAAGAAATGTTAACGTGTGGAAGTTTTAAGTGTTGTTCAGTACTTCATCACTATTTAGCTGGGTGGGGTAGGGACAAAACTAACACTTACCCAGCTTAGATCATTGGTGCTCACCAAAGAGTTACAAAAAGAATTTGGGACTTAGGTAAGACCAAGTTGGCCCCAGCTCATCATTTATGAATCCACAGTACCTGGCAGTCTTCTGAGATTTCTGTAGTCAGTATATTCTTTCCTGTTCCAAGTGCATCTTTCCAGCACTTAGTTTTTTTCCACCATCAGTGATCACCCTCTCTGCTTCTATCAGAGGCTTTCCTGTCTCTTCATAGATAAAATAGAAACTTTGAAGGTTTAGACCCTTTAATCTCCCCAAATCCACAAAGTGATCTGCATTTATACCCATTCTTAGCATTCTCCTGCTATTCCAAAAAGGGTGCTCCAGATCCTACAACCCTGCTTTTTTCCTTTTAAAGCCTAGCTGGTATTTTATATATATATCTATATGTTATATATAGATATATATAAAATATTTATATATAATTATGTTATATATTTACATATTATATATTGTATTATATATTTATATATTATATGCCCTACTGTTCCGCATACCTGTTATTGCTTGTCAGAAACCTTTTACTGTGAAATATTCCATATCTCAGGTGTTTCAAACTTTTAACCTCATGTAGCTTCTCAAAGGCATCTCTTTAGTTTTTTTTTTCCCCTTCTAAGTTAATAATAGAAACAGAACAAACCCAAATCATATCTCTGTTATCGCTCTGCCTTTCCTGGCCTTTATATTCACTTATCAGTAGTCCCTATCTAAACCACACAATACCTTCCTTTGTTTCTTCCTTTACTACTGTATATCACAGTCCTTTCTTTGTGATTGGGTATCTGGCAGACGTGTAGACCTGCCTTTTACAGAGGGTTTGCTTAAGACTTGGTGCCTGATGCCCCTCTTTTCTTCCTTACTTTTCTTTGATTCTTCTACAAGGACTCTGCCTATGAGAATACAGTTCTGGCTCAGTTGTTTTGTTTGTGGGTGATGGTCCTAGGACTTGAACTTAGGGTCCTGGGTGCTGTCCCTGAGCTTTTTTTTTTTTTTTCCTCTCAAGGCACTACCACTTGAGCTACAGCTCTACTTCTGGCTTTTTGGTAGTTTATTAGAGATAAGAGTCTCACAGAGCCGAGTACTGGTGGCTCATGCCTGTAATTGTAGCTACCCAGGAGGCTGAGATCTGAGGATCGAGGTTCAAAGCCAGCGTGGGAAGGAAAGTCCGTGAGACTCTTTATCTCCAATAAACCACTAGAAAACTGGAAATGGCGCTGTGGCTCAAGTGCTAGAGCACTAACTTTGAGCTGAAGAGCTGAGGGATGGTGCCCAGACCCAGAGTTTAAGCCCCATGACCACCACCAACAACAACAAAATGAGTCTCACAGACTTTTCTGCCTGGGTTGGTTTTGAACCATGTTCCTCAGCCTCTTGAGTAGCTAGAATTACAGGCGTGAGCCACTGGTACCCAGCATAATTCCTAGTTTACTCTATGAGAACATTTTTCTAGTTAAACAAAAGAATGAAAAGTTAGATAAGCGATAACCATGTAAAAGTGTTGAAAAGATTGTAGTTATAGTATTGTTAAGGTCCTTACGTTCTATTTTACTTTGATTTGTTTGTTATAGAAATTTTGGTCATCTAAATACATAGTGTGTATATGTAAGTGTTAATTTCTTATCTTCCATACAGCTGTCAGTTGCAGATACATAATGAAGACTGAAAAGATTTCATTTGGTATAGTTGAGTTTTTACCTCAAAGACTAGTAGCCACCCAAAAGACACAGTGTTTTTCATAATTAATTGATTACAACTTATTAAATAAATTGCCATGTAAATAATAAGCTTTTGGCATATAACACTGTAGTAAGGAGATTGAAAAAAGAAATTAAAACATAGTTTCTGACTTTGAGAATCTTATGATTTGGTGGAGTAAATAAATCATAAGGAAAATCATTCACAAAGCATGTAACAGGAGATTGTTGGGTAGCATGCAATTAAAAGGCACTATGTAAGACAAGTAAGTTATATAAAATAAGTTTGTATTTAACTTTATTTTGTTCCATTATCCTTTCCCTTTTTGTTAGTATAAGAGTTTGAACTCAGGGCCCTGTGTGGCAGGTGTTCTGTAGCTAGGGCCCTGCCCTCACCTTGACTTTGAATAGTAACTGTCCTTACTTACTTGGCTAACACATTCTTTATAAAGGATCATTAAAATATTCAGTTTCTCCTGTATAGAAAACAAACTAAAATCCACAGCCATAATGGCTAACCAAAGTTGTTAATAATGGGATATGAAATGGACAGAGGATAGTAGAGGAGACCATTCTGGTCTGCAGGCAGGGGGAACTTAAGGTTGGGAATAAGCCAGGCAAAGAGAAGTGGAGGAGAAAGCCTTCTTTTGAACACAGAAATATTTAAAAAAGCCTTTTGTAAGCATGGCTGCCTTTCTTTGCAATTGATGTTACTAAATGAATTAGAATGTATATATTGAAGCATTTTATATTGAGGTAATTGATCTATAAACTCCTTGGGTAAGTATTTTTTAGCTTTCAATGCACAATGTGTTTAATTAGAAAATATTTTTGGAATTGATGAAAAATTCTGAGTTTTCTAAAGACTACATTTCTTTTCTTTTTCTTTTAGGTCTCATTTAAACAAAATAGCTTTTCAAAATTAGTTCCAAGACTGTGAATTAGAGACAAGTATACTTAAAAAAATTAAATCTTTTGGTTAGGGGATAAGTCATACATGTTCAGGTACATGTTTATACTTGAGTCCTATATATCTGCTTTGTAAAATAATTACAATCGGATTGTGAGTTCATTGAAGTGGAAAACTTAGGAAAAGCCAGCTCACTCAAAAATAATACTAATCCCTTCATCATTTTAGAAGAATAGATTGATTTTAGATTTAAAAAACTTTATTCTCAATATTGGATGACTCCCTATACTCTGTTAAGTAAAAATAAATAGATTTAAAATGTTGTCAAGTGAGTAGTCTGAAAAATGGAGTATACATTACTGAATGCTGAATAGGTTTAGGACTTAATACACGTATCAGTTCTTTTAGAAATAAATGCAAAATGGACAAAGCGCGAATGTGAGAGTATTTAAATGGTTCTCAAGATTTTCTGGTTCATGTGTTGTGATATTGAACTCTTTGGTCCTAGGCTTTAATTTGTGCCTGGTGCTGACCTGATGCTGTGCAGGGACACTCACTGCATCCCTCCATTCAGTCCCTAATTATCCCAACTTCCTGGGGAGCTTGCTTAGAACTGGGCATGAGTGCTTCTTATTAAAATATTGGGCTACCCTGGATACATGTAACACGGTAGTATTTGATATCAGCTTTATAGATGAACAAAATAAGAGATGAAGTTGTTTGCTGTGATTTTAGTAAATGGGTGGAGGGTATTATGGAAATCATTTGGTTAGACAATGGATTAAGCTTGTAATAAATGAAATCATTGGTAATCCAGTTCCTGTGCCTTTTTTGCATTGTTTTTTTAAATGCATATTCAAAAATATGACTATGATGGTATGTGAAATAATCAGATTTGCAGTTTTGTATATATTTGTGGATGATCACAATTCTTTTTTGCTGAGAGCATCTGTTAATACGGGAATTTGTCTCTTCAGGTTCATGTGAAAATGGCCGATGAGGCTGTCTGTGTTGGCCCAGCTCCCACCAGTAAAAGCTACCTCAACATGGATGCCATCATGGAAGCCATTAAGAAAACCAGGGCCCAAGCTGTGAGTCTGAATGAACCTATCTACTGCAGCTGTTTCATATGTAGTGAGCAGAAAGCTAGAGTTTGTATTAAAAAAAATAAGAAAGAATGATTGAAAATGCTGTTGCAGTTAGTTCATGTCACATGAGTTAAATGTGGCTGAATTCGCTACTGGAAATCAAAGGCTTTGTAGCATCTGGCAGTCTTGGTCGCTGATCCTGCAGGTGGCTGCTGGATTCAGCTTTCACACCAGGGAGCAGTTTCAGTTCATTTCCAAATTTGCTAGGAAAAAAGAAGTCCCAATTAGTTTTGAGTATTAACTCTTTCAGTGTAATAAAAGAATTAAGAAGAAAACAATTCTGTGTTATAAACAGGATCCAAGAAACCCTGTTTAAATTCCATTTTAATCATTTAAAAATTATGTACACATAAGTACATTGGACGAAATAAAAGTAGTATATTTGCTAATTATTTTACTTTGTTAGTATCAATAAAATGCCCATACCTTACATTGATAAATCAAAAATTTTCCCCACCTCTAATCTGACTTGAATGCAGTAGACACACCTAGGAGAAAACTGTTTCTGACATCAGGAATAGTTCTTTTTTTAATTTTAATATCAGAGAACTAATTACATAGACTGTTGAAAACTATGTGGCATTATCTGTACAATTGGATGGAAGTAGACAACATTGCAATTAGCCTGAATGTTTCTATTAGAATTGACATTTCTTTTGAAAGAATGTTTTTTGGTTATGTGTTTAAATAAAACTCTGAATTTATAAATTCATAGTTGTTTACAGTTTATTAGCATAGTTAGTGGGAATGAAAATCTTATAACCTTTTAATTGTAGCTTGTTAGAATGCCATTTCTAGTTGAATGTGTTTGTAAAATAAAATTGGTGGAATAAAATTCTTCCTATGGTGCAGTATTTAAAATTTTTCTGTAATATGTATATATAGTTATGTAGCTATTCCTAAGTTATGGTATTGGCTTCTTAAGAAATTTGACTTTCCTTTTAGCAGACTTGTTTTAATAGAAATGTGTTTAATACTAATTGATATTGGAGTAGCTAAATTTATGTCTTGCTTTTGTTGTACAGTCAAAAATTACTTGATCAGAACAGGATGGCAGAATTTAGATTATAGTAATGTGGCTTATAGCGGGCAGATAACATAGTTGTTATGAATGATTAAATTTGTGAAAAGGGGAAAAATGGATAATAGAAGAAGAAAAATTAGGACTACAAAGTAAGAGTAAACCCAAATTCAAACCTCCATTCTAGTTTAGTTTGACAGAAAAGGCTTCTGTGTTGGCTGAGTATCTTAGGCTATTAGGTGAGTTTTGGGAAATAGCAGTTTCTGGTACTGTAGTAAAAATATGGGAATTCAGAATTACTCATTCATCTTGCCAAAGGTTTTTGTAGTGTAATTCTTTGACCTACCAGCTACTGTGAAATTATCCAAACTTGTTAGTTAGAATTTTCCTCAAAAAAAGTAGCAGTGGGGAGTTTTGTGTTGAATAGTGTAGACAAATCAAGTATGGTGCTGATTGTAGCTAGAAAAAAAGGAGCAATTTGATTTGTACCCAGGTATGGAAGTTAGAGCTGATCAGTAAGAGAGAGAAGGAATTTTATTTAAGGACTCAACCACTTAACAAAATACTGTACTGTACATGTTTTATATGGATTTTGCAATATACAATTAAAATATTTTGTTTGGATTTTTAAGGTGCATCCAGGTTATGGATTCCTTTCAGAAAACAAAGACTTTGCCAAGCGTTTGGTAAGTTTAGAACGAAGTAGAAACTATTAACTAATTCTAGAAAGCAGTACAGTAAGGTAATTTCTTTTTCTCTTTCTTTCTTTCTTTCTTTCTTTCTTTCTTTCTTTCTTTCTTTCTTTCTTTCTTTCTTTCTTTCTTTCTTTCTTTCTTTCTTTCTTTCTTTCTTTCTTTCTTTCTTTCTTTCTTTCTTTCTTTCTTTCTTTCCTCTCTCTCTCTCTCTCTCTTGTGCGGGTCCTGATGCTTAAACTCATGGCTTGGGTGCTATCCCTGAGCTTCTTTTGCTCAAGGCTTAGCATTCTACCCCTTAAGCCAGAGCTTTACTTCTTTTTTTTTTTTACTGTGAAAATACTGTACAGAGGGGTTACAATTACATGGGCAAGATAATGAGTACATTTCTTATCAAGCATTGTAGCCTCCCCCTTTGTTTCCCCTTCCCATCCCTTCCCATCCTCCCCCTGCCCCCCCCATTCTCCCAGCCCTCCCCACCAAAGTTGTAAAGTTCGTCTTCCTCTTCTTCTTCTTCTTTTTTTTTTTTTTTTGTAGTTTATTGGTGATAAGAATCTCATGGAATTCTCTGCCTAGGCTGGGTTTGAACTGTGATCTTCAGATTTCAGCCTCCTGAGTAGCTAGGTTTATAGACATGAGCTACTGGCTCCTGTCTTGCAGTGAGTTTTTAAAAATGTGAATAGTGACAAATTAAAGAATTGTAACCAATTATATGAAAAGTGAAGTTGTTTATAATTACTTAAAGAGTAATTATAAAAATGGGAGGGTTATAAAATAGTGAAGTTTTAAAATAATACTTAGAATAATTATAAAAATGGAAAAGTTAATTACCATTATACCTAGTTTATTATATATTGTATGGTCTTTAAAAATCAGAAACCTGAGTTGTTTTTTGTTTTTTTTTTTGGTCAGTCATGGGGCTTAAACTCTGGGCCTAGTCACTGTTCCTCAGCTCTTCAGCTGAAGGCTAGTGCTCTACCACTTGAGCTACAGCACCACTTCCAGTTTTCTGGTGGATAGTTGGAGATAAGAGTCTCATGGACTTTCCTGCTCGGGTTGGCTTTGAACTGCGATCCTCACATCTCAGCCTCCTGAGTAGCTAGGATTACAGGCATGAGCTACCAGTGCCTAGCAAAACTTGAGATTTTTAAATATACATGTAACATTGTATGGTGATAGTGATTTAATTATGATTATGGAAAATGAAGTTGGAAGTAAAATTCTACTTTTCTCCTTTTGTTATAAATTTGTAAGATAAAATTTTACTGCTTCTATTTTGGCAAAAGTGTTTTCTTAATGATCTGAGTATTCTAATATTATCATATGGATTAGCTAAAGTAGCCTGTATTGCTATTAAACTGATTTTAAAGTGTATTTAAACTAAGTTTAAGAAAATACTAAATGGGGCTGGGAAGGTGGCTCAGTGGTGGAGCGCTTGCCTTGCATGCCTGAGGCCCTGGGTTCGATTCCTCAGCACCCACATAAGCAAAAAGAAAAAAGACGGATGTGGCTCTGTGGCTCAAGTGATAGAGCACTAGCCTTGAGCTGAAGAGTTGAGGGACAGTGCCCAGGCCCAGAGTTCAGGCCCCATGACCGGACCCAAAAAAAAAAAAAAAAAAAGAAAATACTAAATGAACTTTACAACTTTAGGGTTGGGGGGAGGCAGAAGTTGGGGAGGTGGGAAGGGAAGGAATGGTAAGGAAAAAACAAAGGAGGGGGTAACAATGCTCGATAGGAAATGTACTCATTACCTTACTCATGTAACTGTAACCCTTCTGTACAGTATCTTTACAATAAAAATATATATTTAAAAAAAGGAAAATACTAAAGCTTTAGAACTTAGGTACTAAAAAATGATATTTTTATATTTGTGAATGTTGTGGTGCTTATATCAGTTATACAAGATGTTAAATTGTCTTTTTTTTGTTTCAGAAGTTGCTTTTTTTTGTCTTTCTTATTCTACTGTTAAATTTTTTTTCTTTTTGGTACCTTGTATTTTATTCTGTGGATTCAAAGTTATTTGTAAATATAATCATTTTCTAAATGATTAAAATCTATAAAGTTGACATAATCATAGACTTTTAGCTTTCGTATATCTTGGCCAACTTTATGATTTCAAAACAAGGATGTAGAAAGGTGTCTGGAGTGAAAAGCTTAGGTGGAAGGATGCAAGTTGGATTATAATGCATATTCCAAGTTTTTGTGTGTATATACACTCTCTTAAAATTTTTTCTTAGCATTTTGACTGAACTTATCATAAAAATGGTTTGAGTATACTGTTTATACTCACTTAAATATTCATGTTAATATTACCTATTAAGCTTAAGTTTTTTAAAACAAAAATTACTATTATAGAGGTGATGATATACAGAGGGGCTACAATTACATTAGTCAGGTGATGAGGACATTGCTTTCATACCGCGTCTGTTCCCTCATGCTCTCCCATTACCTGCCTTCCAGCTCTACCCACGAGTTACATAGTTCATTTTCATCAATGTCCAGTGTACTCCACTGATGCATATTTTCACGCTTTTTCCTCGTATCCTGTGCCCCCCCTCACAGATAAGTATGTGTAGACACCATATCTAAGGTAAAGAATACAGAATCATCAGAAAAAGAAAAAAACCAAAAAAGCCCTTTGTTTCCTTATCTTAGGAGTTTCAGTGTATATATTATATACATAGGAAGAGGCTCTTGGGTATTGTACCTTTGAGATTCTCTCCTAAGACTATCCTCTTTTGGTCTCACTGTATGTGAGTATCTAGAATCCTGTGTAATTTGTCATATCCTAGTGCATGTTAGAGCTAACTTCTGTGTCTCAGAGAGAATATGTGCCTTTTGTCTTTCTGATCTTGGCTTACCTCACCATCAAATATAAATGATAGCTTTGTTGGGTATACCAGTTTGGGTTGGCAGTTATTGGTCTTCAGGGCTTGGATTATACCATTCCAGGCTCTCCTTGCTTAGAGTTTGTGTGGAGAATCTGATTTTTTTTTCCCCATTGTAATACAGCTCCTTCTTTGATTTTTCAGCATTTAAAATCAATTCCCTGCTTTTTAAGTCTCATGTGTCTAGTAGTGTTTCTTCTTGGATCCTGTCTACCGGGGGTTCTGTTTGCTTCTGTCAGGTGGGTGAGATTTTATCTCTTAAAATTGGGGAAGTTCTCTGTTATTATTTTACTGAATAGATTTTCCCATGTTTTTAGTATGGAATTCTTCCCCCTCATTGATCCCTACTAGGCATACATTTGATTTCTTGTTGCTTGAGTCTGCCAATTCTTGGATATCCCTTTGGTAAGTTCTGAGTGCTTTTTTAAAAATATACCTTTGACTTTTTATTATAGCTCTTCTGTTTTATCCTCAGCTCCTATTCATTTATGTAGGCATTCCACTGTGGTTTGCAATATGGAAATTGAACCTTTTATGCTTCTGAGATCATATCTTACAGTGTTAATTTTGTCTTTTAATGAGGGTGATAACATTTCTATTTTTATCTCCATATATTTTTGGGAGTCCTGGATCATCTTTGTCATTTCTTCTTTATACTCTTGAGATTGTTTTTGCATTTCCTCTTTTATTTCTTTGGCCAAATCTATCATCAATTCTTTTTTTTTTTTTTGCCAGTCCTGGGGCAAAAACTCAGGGGGACTGCCCCTGAGCTTCTTTTGCTCAAGGCTAGCACTCTACCACTTAGACTACAGTTCCACTCCTGGCCTTTTCTGGTTATGTGGTGCTGAGGAATCAAACCCAGGGCTTCATCCATGCTAGGCAAGCACTCTACCACTGAGCCACATTCTCAGCCCTGTCATCATTTCCATAATGTCATCCTCTCTTCTCCACTCTCACTGGGGTCCTTCCTTGGATTGTTGTTGGCTTTTGGATTTGGGTTGTTTTTGTGATTGTTCATGAATCTTGTCTTTCATTGTGATTTATGCATTTGGGATGGTCAGGGCTGTGGCCTGATCTTGGCCTGCTTGTGCCTGACAGGTGGTATAGCCCCTGCTTGGCCTGAGCTAGCTCACACCAGGTGAGTTAGCTCATGCTTGGCCCTTGAGCCAGCAAGTGCTTGTGGGCACACCCTTGACTTGCCTCGGGCGAGTTCTCTGCCAGCTGGAGGGCTCTTGGTCTGGTCTGCAGCGGGAACTGGGAAGGCTAGATTCAGACCTCCAGGATGGGCATGCGCTTTGGAAGAGGTGGGCTCCCATGGTTGTGCAGTAGTTTGTCTACACTTGGACCCCTAGTTGGTTCTCACCCCTTAGGTGGCCGGCACTTGGCCACTGGCTTGTGTGTGCATGCTTGGTTTGCCCCCAGGCCAGCTAGCTCTCCACCAGCAGCCGAGTGCGTGGTCCAGTCTGCAGCAGGGGCTGGGAAGGCTACAGTCAGGTCTTCGGGATGGGCATGGGGCTTCAGAAGAGGTGAGATCCGGCGGGTGCGCAGGAGTTTGTGCTGTTTCAAACTGGTTTCCCTGCTGACAGCCGGAGCTGTGGGGGATGCAGGGCCCTAGACCCTTCCAGGGGGAGTCCTGGTGGCCGCCTGCGGGCAGCCAGCAGGTGGGGTGGGAGGGCCTGAGGCAGGGCTCTGGCCTCTCTGGCTGGCCTCTTCAAGTGCCGTGCCCCTTCTTGGGCGGGAGGGAGGGGTCTGTGGGTCCCATCAGCGCTGGATTCGCGTGGGTGGGGTCCCTGGCGGGGTACTCCCCGATCCTGGCGGTGGTTGTGGGCCGGGGCTGCGCTGTGGGAGAGCTCGGGGCCTGGACGTGGCGCTGCCACACGGCTGTCTGGGCGGGCGGGCGCTGTGGGCGCTGTGCGCCTGGATGCTACAGTCCCCGCAGCCGGGGGCAGGGCCCGGCCCGATGGAGGAGGGCTCCCTGTGGGTCTCCGTCCTTGTGTGTTCCCCTGACTCTCTGTGTGTATATTTGTTGTTCATCTCTAAGGGAGACTTGCATGGCTGACTAGAGAGCTCATGGACTTTCCTGCCTGAGCTAGCTTCAAACGGTGA